GGTGGCAGCCCCTGCCGCTGCAGCTGCTGCTGTCAGGCCTGCAAAGAAGTATGAACATAATTTAATATACAATATTCTATGATTCTTCATTGTTGTAGGGACTAAGACTGTTACTCTTCCTTTACGCTTGCTACATAATGAACGGAGAAAATTGAGGAGTATATTACTCCTCTTGTTTGATTTAAAGTTTGTCAGTTTTTTCAAGGAAAAAGTTTGTCGTCCTATTTAGATAGTTACTTCTATACGCCCACCTAAATCTTAACTTGGTATCCAGTAACTGCAGTCATAACACAATCATAACTAACTGGAGATACAAACACATGCTTTCACAAATTTAACTCAGCTTTGAAATAGTGTCTTAAGTGTCTGGCTATGAATAGGTGAACAGGTACATAACTAAGCGAAAACAAAAAAAAAAACCCTCTTTAGATCTCAAATGTTTGCCATGCTAAAGAAAACAGAAGAAAACAGGTCCATAATTTCTATTTAAGAGTAATGGATGAAGAACTCATACATTTATTCCCTATTATTTCACACATAACAGCAAGGAGATGTGGCCATTCTAGGAAGCGTTTTTTGAAGAAAGGTTAGTAATGCTAAACATATTGGTAAAATATTTTGCTTTCCCCAGAACTTCAAGGTATTAAGGTATTTATCAATGAGAAGAGGAATTGTTAAACCTATTTAATCCCAATCCTAAAGCCATCTTCAGGCAATCCAAGTGCTCTTCCTACCAAACCACTTTTCTGCCATCCAGCCATTTACAAGAATGTTCTACAAAACCAAGAAAAGCTCTCTTCATCAAAAGCAATTCAAGATATTGTCCAGCAACGCCTTCAAAACTCAAAATTATATACAGTTGTTACTCAATCTCAGAAGTATTTGCCCTCTTCCATAAGGGAGGATAGTTCTTCTGTGGTCCTCGAACAACGCTGCTACCCACTCAGATCCCTTTGCCCCAGTCTGGGTGATGGCGGAGACAAGTCAGTACCAAACTTCACTAGAGCTGCCTACCCCACACGACTAATCCAGGGGGCAGAGATGGTGATTAAAGAGAATTAAATGTAAGAAAATAAAGAGAAGGCATTAAACCGGGCAAGTTTTGCGCAACTATGCAACCTCAGTCTGCCATGCCACGCAAGGGGAACAGACAGTCATTTTTGAATCAAAATTCCTCCCCTGACCATGGAGAAGGCTTGGAAAAGCTCTGAAGGTACCTGCTTGTCTGATTTTCAGCTGCTCTGAGAGGTGTAAAATGTCTTATGGATCTCAAGAGGAATTAACTGCACAACTCACTATTCCGACGGGCCGAGGCTGCTGCCCAGCATAGGAAGAGTGCAATTTAGCAGGAAAGACCAAATAAGCAAATAATCCCAGATTGTTGAGGTAAACATTGCTATCACCATTGCTTCCAAGAGCCTCTGGTTGTCTCCTTTGCCTCCTTAAATGGAAGACGAGTTCACTCTTGCCATGTTTTCAGCTAGCGCTGGGGAGAGGCAGAAGGCAAAATCCAGCAGGGAGAAGGCAGGTGAGCAGACATCAGGAATCTCTGCCCTCCCCGGAAAAACAATAAGGCGGCGTATGAGGTGCCTTGGAATACACTGTGGCTTGCCTTAAGGTTGTTTTCCTTTATTTCTTTGCATGACCGCATAAAGATTAGCCAAGAGTTCCAGCCTCCCGTCCCTCCTCACAGGCTGACTTCCAACACCTCCAAGTGCAACGAGAATTACGAAGTATGCGACAATTACATTCTGCATAGGCAGATCAATATTGTTTAGAAAACTGCTATTTCAGGCAGAAGATGATGTACCAAACAGCCAAAAATCAAATCAGAAGGTGGATAAAGACAGGGGATTAATTTTATTTTAGCTTCTGCTGCTATTAAAAATTGTGCTCATTCTGATCTTAAGAAGGTATTGACAATAATGTGGATTGCTTCCAATGATATTTTTACCTTAGAGGAAGGATGTGAAGTTATACATTATACAAATTTGGTTGTAGTCCCTAAATTAGGCCACAGAAAAAGGGACGGTGCACCTCTGAACTTTAGTTTGCATCCTGTGTTCATGAAACAATACAATAACCTATACTTCCTTTTTTTTTTATATACATCACTGACAAGCTAAAACTAGCATCTTTAAAGAACAATCCTTCGGAGGAATATTCAATACAATACAACCAATGAATACAACAGCAGGTCTCAAACTCTTGGTTGTGACCGCACCTCTCGACCAGCAGTTTTTAAGCGCTTCCAAGTATCAAATACCATATTAAACAGTCACCGGGCATAGGACTTGTGAGCCCACCTGCAAATACTGTGTCTCACTGGGGTTATGACCCAGTTGCGGAACTGCTAAAATGCAAACTCTCTTTTGCTACAAAGTCCGCAAAAAAGTATGCTTTGGTGCTTCTCATCAAAGTAGGCCGTACTGCTTCTCTTCAGAGGGAGCCATAACCTTTGCACAGGGACAGGGAAACTAAAATACAGATTGCTTAGTTCTGTAGCACAATTTTCACAACATAATGCTTGTGATAATAAATGGCAATTTAAAAAAGCAGAAATTGAATTACTAATTTCATTCCTTCTCTCATACAACTACGAAAGTGATTGAAATGATTACTTTGCTCTACAGCAATTAACTTAAACAATAGAAATCTGAAATGTATGTCTCATATAAGCACCAGTGTAAGTCAGGGGGAACCATGAGTAAGGAATAATCCTCAGAGTTACAGCTTAATGCCAATCCTCACAGCAATTCCAGCTGTTGCTGTTACTTTTTCCTATCGCTTGACTGTCATGATACAGCAAAGCAAGCGGCAAGGCAGGTCCCAAGCCAGCTGCCAGAGCCCTTTGCATTACAATCACTGGTGCACTATGGCATACTGTGGGATGGCACCAGACAAAATTTTCTCTCAAGCACAGGGCTCAACTTCTCTGACTTACCTCACTAGCAAAGGCAGCCAAATATATTCTAAACAGGTTAATAAGCTGCTATGTATCTATATGCATATTTTAAAATACTAAACTTTAAAGTTCAGGTATGGGTATATACTGCGGTAAATACTAGGGATTTGGGGACTTTTTTTTTTAATTTGTTGTTCAATAAAGCCTTTTAACCTAAACATTATTTAATATCACTTCATTCGTACAACAAGTAGCCAAGGAATTTCTGAAATGCACACTTTCCTACACTACAGAAATTTTATCTTCATATATGAGATAAGCAGAAGCCATCTGTAAAGGCAACTGAAATGAAAGAAACAAGGATCACACCAAACAGCCACTCAGATATTTTTTATTCTTTACAAATATTTATTTGAACAGTTAAAAAAGTATCCAGGCCAAAATATTCCATGGCTTAAAGTCAATGGTAGTTGTCATTAATATTCTGAAATTGATAAGTTGTTTATGTCTGGCAATCTTCCTGCCGATAGCATTATAAATATCTCATCACCTCATCGTCACACAAATTTCATCGACAGTGCTCATGCACAGCTATTAGCAATATGAATCTAACCATTACAAGAGGAAAGAAAATCGAACATGTGGCATTAATACGCAGTCCTGGTTCCTAACCATCTGATAGGCAGATGGTGTAAAGCGGATTCTCCAGCTGAAATGAAGGGGCACATCATTTAAAACCTTGTTTGCATTCTAACTGATATCAGTGCCATATTGATATACATGATACATCATGGCAGTATTTGAACAATCTAGTTTGTTTCAGTCATAAATGTTTACAGCCTTGTTTTTTATCTTTAGAAGCATGTTCTGAAGAGCGTATTTTTAATTTATGAAACCTATTGTTTACTTCTGTTGAACCAGAAGATTAGCGAAGAGCAGGAATATTAAATTACCACAACCACAGCAGTATAACTAAGATGGATGAATAAAGTATGGTTTTTCAATAAAAGATGTTAGTAAAGGAATTAAAAAATTAGCCTAGACATTTTATGCATTAAATACATTTATTCATTTAAACCTTACAGCTTTTTTCCCATGTGACATACTTAGAACTTTAATGCTTTATAAAGCCATTCATTTAAATCTCTTACTGCCTGCAATTAATCTTGTCCAACAATTTAATTCAAAAAGCAAAACATCAGAAAGTAAAGTTCAATTCAACCATCACGCTTCTGAAGTAATCTCCGTATTGCTGACAGTTCCTATAGACTCATCAGCAAAAGTCTGTTCAAGGTGTCTTGTAGGAGCCGTACGAATTTGAATTACAGCTCAATTGAAAGCTCTCCAAGCCTTAGTAGGAACTCAGGAACAAGAAGCGGAACACCAAAAGAAAGCGTAAATGATCCTTTCCTACAAAGACCTTCTCTCTTCTGTCACTAGATTACTTTGGCCTGTTGGGTGTGTTTGTAGCTGTTAATTATGTTAATAAAGTTGCAGCCTGCTGTCTCTGCCAAATATAATCATAAGCTTTCTCCTGCCAAGTTCCAGTCTAATTTACACCCGTGCAACTCTACTGAAGTCAGAATTTCGTGGGTGAGAATGAGACCAGAAGTGTGCCCAGTATGTGTGGTCTCTAATGCTGAAAAATGAGTGAATGAAACGGAAAACAATGACAAAAAACATAGCATCTTGAGAAAACAATTCTGTTTTAAAAGCAAAATGCCCGAGAGAGCTGTCATGTATCATGACAGACTTTCAAAATGTGTACGAATTACTGGTGGGTACTAAATCACACCCAGGGCTTCTGCCTTCCAACGAATACTATTCCCTGCCTAAAGAGAGAGCTCTTAAAACTTTCAGTTTTGATGGCATGAGCAGCTTACAACATGCCGTATTTTTGAAGAAAAAAAGAAAAGGACCTATAACTCTTTCAGCCTCAAATACATCTCAAAATATGCATTTTTTAATTGTATGCCTGAACTTGGTCTTGGGACAACTTACCGTATTATTTAAGTAATTGATCTTAGTTCACTTAAAACTTCCTTCACATAACTATGCCTAATAGTAATTATAATTCCTAATAGTTATTCCAATAAATAATTAATCACTTCCTTAATATAACTATTAGCTTTC